TTTGTTCCAAATTGCCCAAGAGACAAGCATGGTGAGAGAGGCCATGGCCTTGCCTGATGGAATGTCCATGCCGGTTCTACTATCCCACCACTCTTCAACGGATCCCGCCAAGTGCCATGTAGATATATCCACATGTTCAAGGCCAAGTTTTGCAACCAGCATGCTCCAGAGTCAAATGGTGTACCGACACTTGAAGAAGAGATGTGGCCCGGTCTCAGGCTCTCGTTTGCAAAGAGGGCATAAGCCACAATTTTCCCATCCACGCTTGACAAGTCTGTCGGTAGTCCAAATTCTGTCCTGAAGGGCCAACCAAGCAAAAAACTTGACCTTTCGTGGTGCCCAATTCTTCCATATCATGCAGGCCAAGGGTGATATGACCAGACCCAAGAATTGGGCTCTATAAGCTGAGGCCGCGGAGTAAACCCCATCATTTTTATTTTTCCACACAATCACATCATCTGCAAGCTCATCAAGATGGAAATCATGCATGAGCATCCAAAGCGTGAAGAATTCCTGGATGTGGTGGACGGTGACAATATCTGGGGGCTTTATCTTGAGGATCCATGCGTTGTTCTTTAAGGCTTCCCTCACCTTCCATGTTTTCCTCGTCGAGGCCTCGTAAATAAGGGGAGCGATGTCTTTTGGTTTACGGCCAAGCAGCCAAGGGGAGTTCCAAAAAGGCATTCTTGCTTCGTTCCCCACAGTGATGGTGGTGGAGGCGTAGAAGAACTCCAGGTCCTTCTCGTCACAGGGGTTGCCAAGACCCACCTATAGTTTGGATGGGTCTCTCCATTCATACCAAGGCCACCGCAGTCTCAGAGCAGGTGTGAATTTTTTTATGTTGAGGACACCCAGACCGCCATATTCCAAGGGACGACACACTACTTCCAAATTGACCTTGCACTTGGCCCCAGTGGTCTTGTCTGATGTGGACCAGAGAAAAGCCCTCTCCATCTTATTGAGTTTATGCAAAGTGCTTTGGGGGACACCAAAGGGGTAATGGAGTAAATCATTTGGGAGGTGATGACGGACTTGACGAGCGATGTACGCCCAAGGGGCCAATTTTCCTGCCGCCTTGTACTCAAGTACTTGAAGTCCACCTTTTTTAGTTTCCAGACCGAGAGGGGTAGACCCAAGTAAGTCATCGGAAAATTAGCTCTCTTTGCTGGCAAACTTTGAAGGATGTGGTCCGGCTTTTTGTTGACTACACCAGATTGGCACGACGGAGCTCTTTTGAAAGTTTTTGTGAAGGCTCGTGACTTCACCAAAGCCCCTTAGGATGGATGCAAGGTTGTCGACGTCCCTCTTTATTAGCGCAATGATACGTCCATTTTGCATCATGCTTTTATATTGATATTTATTGCATTATGGGCTGTCATTACACATTATATCACAATACTTATGTCTTTTCTCTCTTATTTTACAAGGTTTACATGAAGAGGGAGAATGCCGACAACTGGAATTTTGGACTAGAAAAGGAGCAAATATTAGAGACCTATTCTTCACAACTCCAAAAGTCCTGAAATTTCACAGAGAATATTTTTGAAATATATATAAAATATTGGGTGAAGAAAGTACCAAAGGGGGGCCACCAGCTAGGCACAAGGGTGGAGGGCGCGCCCTACCCCTCCTGGGAGCGCCCCGTCCTTGTGGGCCCCCTGGTAGGCCCCCGACGCTCATCTTCTGCTATATGGTGTGTTTTGACCTGCAAAAAATCAGGAGGAAGCTTTCGGGACAAAGCGCCGCCGTTTCGAGGCGGAACCTAGGCAGAACCAATCTAGGGCTCCGACGGAGTTGTTCTGCCAGGGAAACATCCCTTCGGGAGGGGGAAATCATCGCCAACGTCATCACCATCGATCCTCTCATCGAGAGGGGTCAATCTCCATCAACATCTTCACGAGCACCATCTCCTTTCAAACCCTAGTTCATCTCTTGTGCCCGATCTTTGTCTCAAAACCTCAGATTGGTACATGTGGGTTGCTAGTAGTGTTGATTAGTCCGTGTAGTTGATGCTAGTTGGTTTATTCGGTGGAAGATCATATGTTCAGATCCTTAATGATAATTAATACTCCTCTGATTATGAACATGGATATGCTTTGTGAGTAGTTACATTTGTTCTTGAGGACTTGTGAGAAGTCTTGTTATAAGTAATCATGTGATTTTGGTATTTGTTCAATATTTTGATGAGATGTATGTTGTCTTTCCTCTAGTGGTGTTATGTGAATGTCGACTACATGACACTTCACCATTATTTGGGCCTACGGGAAGACATTGGGAAGTAATAAGTAGATGATGAGTTGCTAGAGTGATAGAAGCTTAAACCCTAGTTTATCTGTTGCTTCGTAAGGGGCTGATATGGATTCATATGTTTCATGCTATGGTTAGGCTTGCCTTAATTCTTCTTTCATAGTTGCGGATGCTTGCGAGAGGGGTTAATCATAAGTGGACGGCTTGTCCAAGGAAGGACATCACCCAAG